GAAAAACAATTGCCATTAAAAAGATGTCTGCATTTAATTCCGGAAAATCGATGGGTAGGTAATGAGTAGTCCTCAAGGGCAAATCTACTTAAAATTGGTAGGTTCAACCGTCAACATTTTTGGAAATTTTGGACCCAGCTTTATTCACTAACGACTAACAACATTGCTAAGCAACACAAACGGAACCACTTTGAAGACAGTGTGTCGTATGACCTACACTAACGTCAAAATTGATCTTAGCCTCTTCTCAGCATCTTCAGACGTCATTCAGTACGCTGACGACACCCAAGTGCTCGTCAGCGGAAAAAAGTCCGCCCTTCCGGCTCTGAAAAATCGCTTAGAGACTGCCCTGTCTGCTTTAGACGTCTGGTTCAGAGCAAATTCACTGAAGGTCAACGCCAAAAAAAAACCCAGCTTATCATGTTTGGCAGTCATCAAAACTTGCAAAATTTGCCCACCAGTAAAGTATCGGTTAGTTTTCGTGGAGAAATTCTCCAACCTTGTACAGAGGTGAAAAACCTCGGTTTGATCTTCGATCGGCACCTTACATGGGACCGCCACATCTCGCTGATCACTCGCCGCTGCAACGGAATGCTGACTGGCCTTTTACACCTGCGACATTATCTACCCGAATCTGAACTGTCGACCCTCGTCTCCGCCCTGGTTCTCTCTCACGTTAGATACTGTTTATCTGTTTACGGAAACGGTACCCTTAAGAACCTGGACAGAATTCAAAAGGTTCTAAATTTCTCAGCCAGAGTGATCTCGGGGCGAAAAAAGTTTGACCACATATCTGACGTGCAGAGAGAGCTGGGGTGGTTATCGGCACCTGATCTAGTCCGATATCACACACTGATGTTGGCCCACAAAGTCCAGAGGCATGGCGAGCCCGATGAGCTGGCGGGTATGTTTCGGCGTTGTCATGATGTGCGTGACCGACTGACGCGGCAGGACGAGGCGCTCCGCGCACCCCGCTGTAAGAAGGCGTGCGGTCAAAGGCGCTTCGCATACCGCGCCGCGGTGGCTTACAACGCGCTCCCTCCTGCCCTGACCGAACGCGCGGTCGGACCGTTCTGCGGAGGATTGAAGCGCCACCTGTTACGGGGTGGCGGTGCAGATGTGATGGACTAAGCGCAGATGATCGTGTGCATGTTTTGAATGCGTGTTATACCTCCCCATTCGTTCGTTTTATGTGTTTTATGTAAGCGTTTGACACTGAGCAATTTAGCCTCGGTTATCGCGGATGCTCTACGGATGTTTAATACAATACAATACAATAATACAACGTCATTGTTCCCACGGCCACGACTGTCTCACGGCCACGAGTTTCGCCTTTCGGCGCTGCGATTAGTGTCGTACCCTGTGTATAATAGACAATGCCAGCTGGCAACACAATTCCGAAAATGTGTTTTAATTTGACTCTATTTTAATTTTTGTAGCATGGAGCGCAGTTTTTCGTTCCTCTTTACCTCAGCGTAATCACAGCCCTCTCTATTGTTTTGTTTGTTTTGTTGGGTTAGGCCCTTTCGGTCGACAAGACCATTGCAGAGCCGGAAGGATAATAGGAATTAGGGGGAGACATTGGTCTGGGCAGACACCCTAGTGAGTCGCCGGGGCTGAGCCCGTCCAGAGGACAGGCCACCCAGCCCCAAGGCACTCACTGCACCCGGCTGCGGGGTGCGCTCCCTCAGGAGCAGCGGTGCCGCTCCAAGGGAGCAGCCCGCATGAGATAAAGTTGCCTGTCCAGCCCGGAGGGGGGTTGCGGCTTGGAGGAGAAGGATTTCAGTATCCTGAGGATAGAAACACGGATAGGTGGCCTCTCTATTGTTTTTTTTTCTTCAATAACTTATCGCAGGCCGCGAATGGGTGCCGGTAGGACCGTACCGTGGGTCTGGGTTCTATCGCAGGTTGGCGGATGGTGTCAAGCAGTAGAGGTGACCCCCTGTCGCAGCGGGAGGGAGGGAAGGGGAGGGGGTGAAAGGTGACACCTCCTCCGTCAGTGGGCGGAAAGGGGCCGGTCGGCAGGGGGCGCCACGTGCCGCGCCGTCGCCGGCTGACCAGCCGCGTGGCCTCCGCTGGGCAGCCGGCCAATGGGGAGCGGTCAGCCGCGGCGCGGGGCGGACCGACCTGACACCCCGGCACACGGCGCGGCCAACAGACTGACACGCCGCCGATCGGGGGACCTCTCACCGCCACTGACCGCTCCGGACCGCGGCCAGAGACCGCGGACAGCGCGGCGGCCGCACGGCACCGACCGGGGTACATACCTACCGAATCGGACCGCTTTGAGTGACGTCTGAATGTTCAAGAGCACAGCCACTACAAAACAGGGACATAGCCAAGGGGGGTACGAAGGCCATGCCCCCCCTGGAGACTAAAAATAAAATAAAATTGAAAACAAAATAAAAATAATAGCAACAGCTGCACTACACCCCAAAAACAGTGGGCCAAATCCGAGGAATTTTCCTTTTTGGAGGGGGTACGACACTAAGGCCGCGACCTGTGGCCCCTCCCTGAGCAAAATCCTGGCTACGTGCCTGCTACAAAAAATCACGTAACGACAAGAATGGCCAATGGCCATGTTCCGTCTTCGAATAAGCCATGTCTTGCACAATAATATGTAGCGAAGAGAGTGAGTGACGCTCAAAGTTGAAGGCAGATCTGCAGCAATTTTAACCGCAGGTTGTTTGAAAAGACAAACACTATTCGTTAGAATTGTGTTTTTAACAGAGCATTCCTTCAGACTATTATATGAAAATAGACTTAAAAAGAGAAAGATGACTATGGAAGTGGCATTAAGCTGAAAACAAATGATGCTAATACAGCTTTCGGAACAGTAAGGCACTGCCACATGGGCTATAATTTGAAGAAAAATATCAAAGTCCCGTGGATATCATCACTGTTTTCCTGTCTCAGCATTATGGTCGTTTTGAGCATTTATTTATATTTAAATCCGGCTGATGCAAACGTGCAAGATGAACATGAAATAAGATAAAAGTAAACGCAAATGATAAAAACGGGCACAATAAACAAGTGTGTGTGATAAGCCGCAAATGGTCTCAGCGATAAAAAAGGCGGCTGCATAATGCATAAACGACAAATTAGCGTAATGAATTATCTGCGGGCGTAGCGATGCGGTGCTGTCGTCTCTCGCTGGGTACTGGCGGCCGTTGCGGATCACGGGCCGGTCACGGCCCGTGTCTGCGCGGCGGTGGGGCGCGCGGTGCGCCGATTTGTGCGCCGTCTGCGTGTCGACGCCCGTTTGCCGCGTGACGAGCGTCGAGCGACGCTCCGTGACGACGCTGATTAGACGGCCGACTCTCTCCGAACGGGCCAGTCGGCGTTGACAATAATTTAATAGAGCCATCAGCGGCCAATTGTTGGCTGCGCTTTGTGTGCGGCAGATTTATCGGCTATTTCCTGGCCGGCGGCGGGCGCGCTTCCTGTGTCGGCCATTACCTGTCGAACGGCCGGTCAGTGACCCGGACAGTCACAGCGCGACGCGTCACAAACGTCACACTCGTCACACGCGCGCACAAACACGGCTGTCACAGCGCACAGGTGTCACACAAACACGGCTGTCACAGGGCACAGGTGTCACACAAACACGGCTGTCACAGCGCACAGGTGTCACACAAACCGCGGCAAACACTGCCAATGTGTCACACAAACCGCGGCCAGCACTGGCAGTGCTGCCACAGGCAACATACAAACTGCGACAGACACTGCCTTATGTGTTTGTCGCAAACATAATGACAAACAATGCCTGGTAGAGCGGTCACACAAAGCTTGACAAACATTTTCACTGATTCCCCATAAGCATTGCAACGAACATTGTCACTGTCCCATTTATTGACAAGACAGCCTGCAAACAAATTGATGTCATGCATACGAGTGTGCTGTTCAACTTCAATGTTTGTTCAGACCTCCGATGAACACCGCTACTGCCTTGTCATACAGACTGTGTTCATACCGCCGCGGAGGCCCCACCCACAGACGGCACGACACTGGTGGTCGGTCACAATGACACTGCGCCAGAACTGGAGTGTAGCGCTCGATTATTTGGCTGGGTGGCCACCAATGGGGTACATGGCCTGGGCTCACTCCGTAAAACATTTGACACGAACTCGAGTCATATTCTACGTCTCCACATAGAACTCGGTAAGTGATGAGCCTGTAAGACGAAATTTATGCGGCCATTGCCATTGGCAGGCTCGAAGAGCCAATTTTGCTCCATGAGCTGTCATGTGTAAATATTACCCAGACAATGGAGACCCTAAAATCATATCAAACTGAATAACGGTCGCACTGGTTTGCGTGCTAGCTGAACCGTCTTGTGTGTTATAACTTATACCGTTCTCTTTTGTGTTGGACAGTCCTCAGTAGTGCGTATTAGACAATGTGGTGTGTTAGACCGTTCTCTGGTGTGTATAGTACCATCCTCTGGAGTCCAGCGAGCATTAAACCGTCCTCTGGTGTGCATAATAGACCGTCCTCTGCGTGGGTGTTGCATCGTCCTATGATGCGTTGGACCGTCCTCTGGTGTGTTGAACCGTCCTTTGGTGTGTATAATAGACCGTCCTCCGCTGTGTATTAGACCGTCCTCTGGCGTATAATAGACCGTCCTCTGGCGTATGACCGTCCTCTGTGTGTAAAATAGGCCATCCTCTGGTGTGCATAATAGATCATCCTGTGTGTATAGTAGACTGTCCTCTGGTGTATATAATAGACCGTCCTCTGGTGTGCATAGTAGACTGTCCTCTGTTGTGTATATAATAGTCCGTCCTCTGGTGTGTATAGTAGGCTGTCCTCTGGTGCGTATAATAGACCGTCCTCTGGCGTATGACCGTCCTCTGTGTGTAAAATAGACCGTCCTTTGGTGTGTATGAATAGACCGTCCTCTGTGTGTAAAATAGACCGTCCTCTGGTGTGTATCTAATAGGCCGTCCTCTGGTGTGTATAGTAGACTGTCCTCTGTTGTGTATATAATAGACCGTCCTCTATTGTGTATTAGACCGTCCTCTGGTGTGCATCAAACCGTCTCGAGTGCATTAGATCCCCCGGCTGAGATACACATAAGCGAACACCTACTCAATGAAAGAGGGATCTTAGTAAGTAATATTCGGCTGCAAACTATATGTTCATTGAAACTAACGTGCTTCATGATTCGTGTGTTTTATGTATTATGACTTTTAAGTCATACTGTAAATATAATTATCAGTCTCATCACACAAATAATCTAACTCAGTTGACTAATCTGACATGGTTTGTTTGCTCCATAGAAGATCAGTATGATCCCTTTGAACGGCTACTTAGCACTCGGGCAGAGCAAATGCGTTACCAAGCTCCAGTGTCTGACATGAACATTGGACATCACATAAGAAAATTATTTCACTAAGCAGCATCAGTCTCCGTACTAGGCCGCCTCGACTCCTAAGTAACCTGCTCTATTGTTCATCGCGATGCCTCTCGAAAATGGAGGCGAATGTCTTCGGTCTTAGCAGAACGCACTTCCCATAGCAGCCTCCATGAGATCAGCAGAACACAGACATTCTCAGAAAACATTTCACGGCCTCACCAGTCACAACTGCTCGGATGAGATGAGGGCTTCTCAAATGAAGACTACGCGCAGCTTGATGCTTCGTAACTGTTTTGCCCCTGTCCGGCCGGGGTGTACTACGGCCTTCACGGATCTCCCTCACCTCCTCACCACTGTCCTCTCAGTCAGGACTCCTGTCACTGCGTCTCGCTGCGGCAGTAGAGCTAGCCGGCACCCTCCCACACGTCAGGGTGGGCCGCAGACCCCATCGACCGTCGCACCTTCCCTGATCCACCGTTCTCGGCCAGACGCGAGGCGATCACGTCACAGCCGACAGGCGGCGCTGCAGTCGGCGGCGGCGGCACGTAGGTGGCGTTAGTGGCGTGGCAGCGGGCGCAGGAGCGGCGCAGAGCCGGCCGCTGCCGGGGGGCGTGGCAGCGCATCGCGAACCGCAGCTCCGTCGCCATCTCCATGCATATTGATTGCTAAAAATACAGCACAGCGGTCAGACATGAGACAGGGGACAGGAAATGAAACAAAATCATCACTGAGTTTCGTATCTCAATTCTCGGTCAAGATTCGTGACTCAAAATTTGTAGCATGCATGTAGAGATGGAGCTAGTCCGTCTGCGGTGCCAAGGCGCAACGGCCAACACTAAACCGCTGTCACAATTGCCTAGTCTGCCTACGGTAGGTACCCGAAACTGCCCGTAGTCTGTTTCCAGAATCTGACGCTCACCCGGTCTGTCTGCGCGTTTTTCTTGGAGTTCCAGCAGAACTCGAGCACGGCCACGATCATGGCCAGAGCCAGGCCGCAGAGCAGGACGACAAACACACCACCTGGCGGGGGGAGAGGGATGCGGAACTTATCAGACGGCCACCGGGTCCGCCCGGACGCACAAAATGCAGCCCAGCAATTACTTTATTACTTTTTTATGCTCAATATTAATACCATGCACAGACAAAAATGATTACGTTCGGGTGACCTCTGGCCTGACGTAATGATCTCTGACCTAACGTAATTATTTTTGCCTTTGGACGACAGTATGTATGTGACATATATGTGACATGGTACACAACGCGTTTTTTACCGATGTTTTCGATGCCGAGCTCGCTGGCCTTGGAGTCGGACTTTTTCTCGTCTCGATTGCAGACGTCTCCGGTATCTTTCCACCACTTGTTGTAGAGCATCTGGATGACGCCGCTCTCCTGCAGGTCCAGGATCGCCAACGACATACGGTCCCGCCACACAGAGCCTGTTGGAGGAACAGCAATATAACAATGTGCGCACGGTCCCGCCACACAGAGCCTACCAAAGGGACAGGGAAATAGGGACCCGTCACATAGAGCATACGAGTACAGTCCCAGCACACCACCCAGAGCGGGACAGAAATTTAAGATTGAGTATTTGCGGTAACGATAGACGAAACTTGTCGGCAGGACAGCGAAATAAAGTGTTGGCATTTGCCGGCGCTCGGCGGGGCAGCCGCCAGCCAGTGTCGTATTAGGAACTGGGTCCTACACCACACCATCCTCCACTTCCGTCCTCACCTGCCGGTGTCGCGATGCCGTACCCCTTGGAGTCGAGCAGGCCGCCGACCTGTGTGAGGTTGCAGTCGCGCTGCACGATGTAGTCGAGCGTGGTCGACTCCATCAGGTAGGCGTAGTTGCCCTGCCGCACGCGCTGAACGCCCTCCTGGTAGCTGGAGACCAGCACCGAGTGACGCCGGCTCTCCATGAACCGCCACATCTTGCGGTACGTCTCGATCTTCGAGTCCTGTAAGCGCCCGACGGATCACATAAAATTCACAATCAGTCGTTTTTAGCTGGTAAGCTAAATTACCTACTGGATTTTCTCTCCAGAAACAAATGCTCATCGCTTTGCTTAATGCTTATAAAGGAAAACGCTTTCAAAGCCGGCTTTACAAGTTCTTGAAACGGTCTCTAAACTGCGAGAGTTCCACAGCTGGGGGCTCTTGCCAAATTGGAGCTTAAGAGACTTTGGATCTTTTATCCCGCGCCCTGCTGGGGGGGGGGGTGTTTGAACACCCCCCCTTGTGGTTTTTCGCGAATATCTCAAAAACGGCGGCGCGGAGCGCCGCCGTTTTTGGTATACCTTATCATACATCAATTCTACACATGTTGTGAAAATTTCAGACCAAGGTCATTCAAGGTCAGGTCACCAGGTCACTTGAAATGACCTCACCTCATAAAAAGTTTCAATGTCTGTCATAGCTACACCGAGTGACCGATCGCTTTGAAACTTTCAGCGATTGATAAGAGTAACAGTATCTATAAAATGTATATCTCGGAATTTTGATATCGGTGACCTAAGGTCAGGTCAATTTTGCGACCTCCGCATTATAAGTCAATGGGAGAAAATTGAAATGCGCCTCTTTTGGACGAAAGACATTATAAACACTCCCAAACACTGAATTACAAGTGGTTTAGACACACTGAACATGAAAATGGTGTCCGTGACCCTTGTTTATGCCCTGAGGTCATCTTAGGTCACGAATTGTATCTAACAGTTTTTCGCAAATAACTTTTGATAGAGGCATGCTAGAGCGATGAAAACGCCTTGGATGTGTTCAGCTCGACGATACGGATCGACTGATATGCAACATGACCCTTTCCGGTCAGGTCATGACCTTGACCTGAGGTCAAATTTTCAAGTTGACCTTTCAAGGTCAAGTTATAGTTCATTCGATGCGTCTTGACGAGAGGAACACGATGCCGGTAAAAGTAAGCTCGTACAAGGCTTGGGTCAAAAGTTATTGCCGAAAAACTGTTTCCGAAAAAATCGGCTATTTTTGCAGTTTTTGCCCCCTGCAGGCAAAACCGTTGACGTTAGGTCAAATCTGAGAGAATTACTCAGAAAGGGCGTTAATAGGGCTATCGAATGCGCTTTTCCGCGGCGCTGTAGCTCTATTGGTTCCCGAGTTATGCGTTGGCTTCTTGGAAATTTTCGATATTCGACCTGGAAATCGGCGAAATTTTGCCTTCAATGACCTCTGGTGACCTGACCTTTGACCTGACCAAAAAATTGACCGAAGTGATTTCGTCATTATTTTTGACGCTCTTTCGAACGCCGCCTTCCGCGTATCGCTACGTGGCCCAGGAGCCGAGTTACAAGGGGGGGTGTTCAAACACCCCCCCCCCCCCAGCAGGGCGTGGAAATCCAGGACCCCCAGCCGGGCGCGGGTTATGTCAATATGAGCTATGATGATCATTTCTCATAAGCTTCATAAGCTTGTAAACGATCCGTTTTTAGTGTAGATACTTCATAGTAAATGGTGGCTATAGGTTGGTCGTTTGGGATGGTCGATGGGGCTGTAATATAAATAATATTCGAAATCAGTTGGGGTACCCCGTCCCTTGGGAGTGCGCTGATTTAAGTGCCGATGAAAGGCATACAGTATGGTTGGTGATATTTGATATTGGACGTTATCGAGGCTCTGACGATTGGACTGAGCGCTTGGCCGATAAATCAAACATAAGCCACTCTGAGCCACTCGAATCAGTGACGCCAGGCCTTCGGCGATCTTCCTATGAATTAAATAATCTGACATATCAATTTCATTGCCTGCTCCATTCACTATGACAACAGGGAGGCGGCCCAGCTAGGGGATAAGTCTATCTCTCCTACACATGTGACCGTATTACCGTAAAGACAATTTCACTCACTCGGAAAAATGTCATCGTCGAGCCGCCCTCTAACGTTCCGTATTCAATCTCCTCTTGGTTGGCAAGGTCAGCTGCACTCTCTGCAGAGAAAAGAGAGGGGGAGAAAGGGAAAGAGTGAGTGATTGGGCGAGTTGTAGTGCCGAGAAATAACTACATCGCAAACACTTGCTTCATAATTCGTATCAATAAGTGTCCTAACTGTGTCTTCACAGTTAGGATATGAAATCCAATAAAATTGTACTTTTTACCGATGTTCGTTGACGTCCGCTCCACGGTGAGGAAGGCCGCCAGGTTGGCCGTGTACGAGGATATAATGATCAGTGTGAAGAACCACCAGATGCTGCCCACGATCCGAGTCGACGCCGCCTGACAACACATCAACACACGTTGGTCAGTACCGTCCTGCACCAGCAGCCTCACACGCTGTCAAAATAGGACGTCTATCCGAAAACCAGCGCCGGCGTGCACCTCTGATCTGGCTCGTGTTTGCCCTGGCCGCGCCGGCAAGCCCCTCTGCTGTCGCTGCCCCGCCCCGTGGGGACACCACGCCTGCCACTTATGTAGAATGGCCAATCAATGACGGTCGGGCGGCGACCCCCGACGGCGGGACGGTTTGTCAGATGATGCGGTCAGAGGAGGCCAGTTTGACCGCGGACCGGGTCAAAGGGGACCAGTCTGACCGTGTACACAGGGTCAGAGGGGACTATTCTGACCGCAGACAGGGTCAGAGGACCAGTCTGACCGCGGACCGGGTCGGAGGACCAGTCTGGCCGCGGACAGGGTCAGAAAGGACCAGTCTGGCCGCGGACCAGGTGAGGGGACCAGTCTGGTCTGCGGTCTGGATCGGAGCCCGTAGCGGTTGTTCCATGCGCGACGCCTGTTTCTAGTGCGCCATATTTATGATGAATTTATATTCTTTTTGGCAAGGCCACAGTCGCAAAAAATAATCACAGTGCCGTCACGCTCCGGTGACTGAGAGCGAATGGGAGCAGCCCAGACCACAGTGGTCCGCGGCTGGTCACTCTGCGAGCTCTCGCGGCAATGGTCACTGACGTCGGTGAGCGATCACAGCCGCAGAAATAAGATAGATTAGCGGCCATCCCAGTCCCGGCCCGACAGCCGGGAGGGGGAGGGACGGCATCATCCACGGATCAATGGGCCAGACGTGACGGGCACGTCAGCACACAGGCACACATACATCACCATGCGATGCGCACACTCACAGAGAAAACAAACATTTACTCTTTCTCTATCGCACACTTAATTACAAATCTGTGCTGGGGATAGCCTCAATCAGTCACCGAACCGAATAGACTGGCAGCAAGTGACGGACACGGGACAGAATGGACGAGACATGGGACGATCATATCGACAATGAGCGGCCCCACAGACACGAAATGGCAGTAACTATGTTATACAGGGTGATCGAAAAAAAGTGTCACCCCCAATTCAAAAGCCATATAACTCGCGATTGGTTGGTCGTACGACTTTGCGCCAGGCAGCATTAGAAAGAGCATACAATTTCCTTTTGAATGTATGTAAATATGCATGGTTTATGCCGCAAACGAAGATGTAGCTATTCAAAAAGTATGTTAAGGACGCAATTTGGCGTGTTCAAAAGTTTGGTTGTGCAAATTTGTACTTTCGACAGAGTTTTTGATCTGACAGCTCACGTGACAGCTCACGTGAGCATTTTTCTTAACTGCTCCATGGTTACCGCTGCATAAAATTGATAATCCGGTAGTGCAGGTTGTCGCAATGTTTCGCTAGTTACCGGCGAATTTGTGAATAATGAGGCCGCATGTTTGCAAGGAAGATCTGATAAGGTCTTCCTTGTCTAAGGTCAGCCGAGAAACGAGTCTAAGGTCAGCTGAGAAACAGTCTGCAGTGAACAACATACACTCCATCATAAGCGTAACTTTATATCTCTTTGTGGGTGCTCAAGCACCCCCAATCCTGAGCTCAGCACCCCCTGCCTTCTTAAAGCACCCCCAGCCTCCTCAAAACATTCCCAGCTGACTCAAGGCCCTCAATAATCAGAATGTCCATCTCCTAGTACTGTAATGAGCCCAGTGAATCATGCAAATACTATGCTTACTCAATTCAGTGACTAAGAGAATATATATTGAATAAATCACCACAAATTAAGATGCATGACATTTGTGTTAACATTACATCTGATATTATCAGGGGCCCGGGAACGATTTTCAAGTTGGGGGGGGGGGGGCGAGCCTAAAATACCTGACATGATGCATATGAAACAGTGGCATAGCCAGGGGTCTAAGGGGACACGTACCCCCTCCCCCCCCCCATCGAGTTCAAAGGGACCCTCGGGTCCGAGAGGCCCTGCGGCGCCATTTGACCGCTGAGGGTTAACGATGGCCATATTTCTACTCAGAAGGGCCCCGTGGGGCTCGTTAGATTACCTCATGGGCCCTAAATAGCCACACTAAGGTCTCCATAAGGGCCCCACGCCGACTTCTGAGGGCCTCTTGCGGCTTTTAAGGACACCTCGGTGATCTCCAAAGGCCCGTTAAGCCTGAAACAGACTCTTTCCGCAGTCAGGATATCGCATGCGAGAGCCTATTCAAATACATGGAAGCAAGCTCGCATCTGAATCGCACGCACCTCCCGCGAGTGATTGATGCGAGAGGAATTACAATGTATTTGAATAGGCTCTCGCATGCGATTTCCTGAACGCGGAAAGAGTCTGCTTCAGCCTTTACTGGCCTCTGAGAGGTCTTACCGGCCTATGAGGGGACAGTTCTAGGGGCATTTCCCACCTGTGATGGTCCCACACTTATTTTTCTGAGGGCCCATAACGGCAACTATGGGGCCCTCGTCGGCGCCTATGAGGGCCCACACCGGTGTCTCTGAGGGTTTCACACCCCCAACTCCGAGTGCCTACACCAGTGCCTATTAAAGCCCTATATCGGCGGCTCTGAGGACCCACCCAACACCTGTGCATCTAAAGGCCACCCACTGATGACTTGAGGGCCCCACAACGGTGACCCTGAGGGCCCCACCGGCGCCTGACAGTACCATGCCGGTCTCTTAGGACCCCGCAGGACTTCTTCTGCCGGCCTAAGCCCTAAGGACCCCTTGCCGGCTTGTAGAGAGTTCGCGTCAGCAGCTCTAAAGGCCCCACACCCGTCTGTAACGGCTCTACACCAGCGTCTATGAGGGCCCGGAGCAACGCCTGTAAGGACCCTCATCGGCGCCTCTGAGAGAATCACACTAGCACCTCTGATCGCCCACACCGGCACCTGCATGGCGGCCCCACACCGGTGCCTCCCTTACCGGCGGCTCTGAGGGCCCTACGCCTGTGATTCTGAGGGTGCCACCGATAACTGAAGGCACCACACAAGCCCTTAGTGTAGCTGAGCTTTAATCCCATACTGATACCGGCCCTCCGAGGGCGCCACGTCAGTGCACTCATTGCCCCACATCCCTCCCTCACACCCGGAGCGGGCAAACTGTGTTATACATACCTATAGCAACCATGGGTGGAGAACCTGCCCCGGCCACCCCGGCCGTGGCCGGGGTAACTTTCAGCCGACCCCGGCGTGGCCGGGGTAACTTTTTCCACTTCTGTAAATCCTAAAAATGTCTCCATACGAAAAAATGCCATCTATAAAAGCGTCTCTCATTATTGTTATCTACCTTGAAAAGTTCTTGAAAATTTACTTTATTTTCATTTTGGAGCTTCTATGTTTTTAAGTCTTTTCATCGCGGAGCCCGACATGTTTCATCAAACAGAAGTAAATCATTTTTAAGGGCCGTTGTCGTAAGATGGCACTGTAATAACATCACAAGACAGGACGAGGGTACCTAATATCAGTGAGATAGAAGGATGAGCTGCTGGGGCTCAAGGCTCCCCCAACTTAACCCGCGCCAGGGTGGTGGCCTTATCGTAACACGTTGAGTCGAGAGGTGGTCTTTTCACGCTCCTTCTAACTCGGCTCCTGGGCTACGAGGCGAGAAGCGGAACGACGTTTGAAAGAGCGACAAACGTGATCAGAGAAATCTGGGCCTCGTTTCATAAAGCGAGTCCGTAACTTACGCGGGTTTTTGGTCTTGTATTGCAAGTGCATGTGAAGCGATGACGATAGTTTGAATCGATGAATTTATTTATCTTGCAAGCAAGAACAGAAGAGAGAAGGGAAAATAAATTTATCGCTTCACGTGCGCTTGCAATACAAGCCCAAAAACCGGCGTAAGTTACGGACTCGCTTTATGAAACGAGGCCCTGGTCATGTTTTAGGCAAGCTCAATAATAAAATCACCATAGATCATCAAAAGCCAAATTTCTCTGATTTTAGCGTTCTCCGACAACTTTTCTCACAGTTCATGAGCATAACGGAGCTTAAACACTGCAAACAAAACATTCGATTACTCGTTTAAGGCTCGGTCGCGAATAATATTTCAGGTGCGAGCTCAAATCAATAAGAGGGTCAAAACGGTCAAATTTGACATTTTGTTTTGTGTGGGAAGGTTGCAACTTCCACGGAATAAGCTTTGCAAAGGGCATGATGGCATTTTTAGCACGATCATCCATCAAATTTGACCTGATGACCTGACCTAGCACTGGGTGACATGCGTCCGAAATTTTAAGGCGTGTTGCAAAATTGTTGTTACAATTACGAAATCTTCCGCACCTGCGTGCAGCAGTTTTCCCTAAAAACGTAGGTACAAACGGCAGACAGACATCCATTATTCTATGCCACAGAATAGGGTTTTTTTGATAACCGTTGACAAATATTTGAGCATCATCGTCTTTCTGACTTTCGGTCGCCGGCCGGGGTAACTTTTTCAAACATTCTCCACCCGTGATAGCAACGATTTTACCACCGTTGTACGTTATGTATTTCTCAAAGTTGACTCAAAATGGTCCAGTACAAAATCTGGCCTGCCAAACTTATGGCCAAGGTCAGGCCCAAACACGTTTTGGGCAATCAGTCTCAGTCCATGACTCCATTCTTCGGCAACTATACGGTGAAAGGCCGATACTGTAGAAACTTGCAATTTGTACCCTTGAACTGACCTTGACCTTGACCTCAAACTTTAAATTAAGTACATGTTTTTAGTAATTCGTGATGAGATCTTTCGATTGGCGTTTGAATTTTCCTAATCGGACCATTAGTTCGGGAGATAACAGGGGGTAAAATTTATCCCCCCAGCCCCGCGCGTTCGGCTGGAGACCCCAGCCCCGCGCGGGTTAATGCATTGAGTGAGCCAAAATTGTTTTACAGTGGCGCTATTAAAACAAGCTCTCGAACCGATTTAACATCATTTCTTGCATGATGCCTGATGGCTACAGTAAAAAAGAACAGCTAAAAAACTACAAAAACTATGGCATGCCTTTC